GGTCATATAATTTTATATATAGAAAACCCCAGAGAATGGACTGAAACTTACTTTTCTGTTTGTAAGCAATTAGTTAGACAATCCTTTGGAAGGGAAAAAAAAAAAAGGTCCCATTTCAGATCTTTTTTTAAAAAGGTTTTTTGGAGGCTGGGGCTGAGGCTCCGTGGCTCTAGAGCACTTGTCTAGCATGTGTGAGGCACTGGGTTTGATCCTCAGCACCACGTGAAAATAAATAAATAAAATAAAGGTATAAAAAAAGCAAAACAAAACCAAAAAAAAAGGGTTTTTTGTTTTTGTTGTTTTTTGTTTTTGTGGTGCTGGGGATTGAACCCAGGGCCTTGTGCATGTGAGGCAAGCACTCTACCAATTGAGCTATATTCCCAACCCCCCCAAAATATTTTGAATTGTAAAATATACATAATACAAAATCAACCATATTACCCTTCCCCCCCCCAGTTTTTTTGTGGTGCTAGAAATGGAACCTAGGGCTATGCACATGGTAGATAGGCAGAGCTCTACCACTGAGCTTCACCCCCAGCCCTGTGTTAACCATTATTGTATGTATAATTCATTGGCATCAACTATACATTCACAATATTGTATAACCATCACCACTCTCTATTTCCAGAACTCTCCATTATCCCATTAACTCTCCCATTAAACAGTTACTCCCCCACCCCCAGCCCCTAGTAACATCTGTCTCCATTCTGTCCCTGTGAACTTGCCTATTCTACTTATTTCATAAAAGTGAAAATCAGACAATATTTGTTCTTTGTCTCAATTGTTTTTCTCAGCATAATGTTTTCAAAGTTCATTTGGGTTGCAATATGCATATACAGAATTTTATTCCTTTTAATGACTACATAATATCCCACTATATGTGTATAACATGTTTTGGGGGTTTTGTTATTTTATTTTATATTTATTTGGTAGGTCTCACTATGCCCAGGCTGGCCTTGAACTCCAGGCTTCAAATGATCTTCCTGCCTCAGCCTCCAAGTAGCTGGAACTACAGGCTCATCGTATCACCATGCTTGGCTGTGTGATCCCTTTAGTTTTCTCTACTCTGTAGTTTTGCAAAGATTAAAAAAAAAAATCCCCAAAATAAAAAGTTGAATACACTGAGTTGGCACTGATGTGGAGAAAGAAACAGCCTCACACTGTGCTGGTGGGACTGCCTGTCAGTACAGTTATTTTGGAAAACAGTTTTCTAGGCTCTCACAAAATTTAAGGTGCAAGCTGGGTGCAAGGATGCACACCTGTCATCCCAGTGACTCTGGAGGCTGAGACAGGAGGATCACAAGTTTGAGGCCAGCCTCAGCAACTTAGTGAGGCCCTAAGCAATGTAGTGAGACCCTGACTCAAAGTAAAACGTAAAAAAGGGCTGGGAATGGGGCTCAATGGTTAGGTACCCCTGGGTTCAATCCCTAGTACTAAAAAAAAGAAAAAAGAAAAAAAAAAACCTAAAAATGCATATACCCTTGACCCATCAATTCCCTTCTAGGAGTTTTCCTACAGTCATGTTTATATGAGTATAAAATGATGGGCTCAATGTCGGGCAGAATCCTGTGGGCTCACGCACACAACGTGTTAAGTTTTGCTGTGCTTAGCAAACAAGGAGTTTTGTGAGAAAGTATGAACTCTTTGAACTTGTTGCTGTCTTAAGAAGATAAGAGAAACGAATGTTCTGCCAAGTGTAAAATTTATATACATATATGTATGTGTTTGCCTGGGAATAACTAACCACAAGTTAATTGATAAGAAATACGGAGCACTGTGACCCTAAACAAAGTTTTCCTGAGAATGTTTATCCCTGCTTGTAAGGATTGCGCTGACGAAAGGATGTTTCTTCTTTTCCTTTGTCTTAATCAACATGCTGTATAAAAGGAGGAGAGAGAAAATAAAGACGGTGCTCATTCCTACTGGATGCCTGTGTGCGCGGGTGTCTTTCTTAAGCAACTCTGCTGAACCAGGACTACAGATTGTCAGCGGGTCTGACAGAATCCTGAGTTGGATCCTGGAACAGAGAAACACGGAGTGGGGAGAATGGGGACGTCAAAGCCCCCGCCTGGCGCACAGGGATACACTAAGGTCAGGTTCTTAGCAATGGGAGCCGCAGTGAGAGGGGTTTTCAAGGACTCTGTACTATCCCTAGACATTCCCAGATAAAAAGTTTACTTTTAAAAAGGCAGAAAAGGGCAGGGAGGGGAAAGGGGACATTTATTACCACATTCTTGATGACAAACAAATAAAGAAAGAATGAAAACAGGGTTGTCGTCGGGGGTGGGGAAGCTGTTTCAGTCCGTGAGCGGCTGCCGCCCACCAGGTGGAGCACCATGCAGCCATTCCAAAGGCCAAGCGCGTCTTCTCCAGGATGTGTCGGGGGAACCTCGGGAGAGCGCTGGCTTGTCACTTCTTTTAAAAACGGTGGGAGCAAGGAGGACTTGTATTTAGATACTTCTGAAGGAGACTGGTCACAGCTGTGGCCTCTGGGCTGGGGACCAGGGTCTCGCAGGGTCTCGGGATTGGCTGGAAACAGCCTCATGTTTCACCATATACTATTTTGAGAAGTTTCCTTTTTTAAAATCACGCACAGGTACTGCCTTTTAAAACTTAAAGTTCGGGGCTGGGGCCGCGGCTCAGCGGCACAGTGCTTGACTAGCATGTGTGAGGCACTGAGTTCCATCCTTAGCACCACCGAAAAAATAAACAGATAAAATAAAGGCATCTACAACGTCGGAAAAAAAAAATGTGTGTGTGTGTGTGTGTGTGTGTGTGTGTGTGTGTGTGTGTGTGTTAGTGCTTAAGAGAATGGTATAGGAACAGGAGTGAAAGTGCTCTTATAAATTTGATGCTCACCTCCAGCCGGTCCTGCTTAGTATCCCCCCACATAGCTGGGGTTTGGAGGTACCTGATCAGGGTCTTCAACTGAGAGGGGGTTCATTGGAGGAAGAACTGAAGCTACAGAGGAAACAAAAGAGCTGGTGGTATAGGAAAAAAGGAAAGGAAACAAAGTCGGCTATGGTGGCTCACGTCTGTCATCCCAATGATGCAGAAGGCTGAGGCAGGAGGGTCACAAGTTGGAGGCCAGGCTGGGAAACGTAGCAAGACCCTGTACCAAAATTAAAAAAAAAAAAGTTGAAAGGACTGGCGATGTGGGCGGTGGTAGTGCACCCCTGGGTTCCACCCCCACTCCTGGAAAGAAGAATGGGAGGGAGAAGCCCGTCTGGTCCGTGGAACGAGACCCGATATCAAAACAAAAACGAAAAGGGCTGGGGGGGGGCTCGGTGGTAAGGCACCCCCGGGTTCACTCCCTGGTACCAAAATATGAGAGAAAGAAAGAAAAAGGAGGACGGTGAGGGGGAGGGGAGGGGGAGAAGAGGGAGGGGAGAGGGGAGAAGAGGGAGGGGAGGGGGAGAAGAGGGAGGGGAGAGGGGAGAAGAGGGAGGGGAGGGGGAGAAGAGGGAGGGGAGAGGGGAGAAGAGGGAGGGGAGGGGGAGAAGAGGGAGGGGAGAGGGGAGAAGAGGGAGGGGAGGGGGAGAAGAGGAAACGAGGCTTTGGGGAGGGTCGACGGCCCCGGGGTGTCTAGCCCCTGCTGGCCACCAGGGGTCGCCCCAGCCCGCCGGCCCGATTGCTGCCCAGGGAGCACCTGGAGCTGGGAGGTGTCCAGGAGGGTCTGAGACCCCCGCCCCCGCCCCAACCCTGGCATAAATCCACAAAGGGAACAGGAAGCCGCTCTCCCCTCGGGAGTCAGCCAAGACCGGAGGCCTGAAGGCTGGCCTCTCTCCCGCTGGGGCCCCAGGGCTGCAGGACCTCCTCCCTGTCTGGCTCTGAGGTCCAAGGACTGACCCATGTCAAGGCCTAAAATACTGTCACTGTCACTCATCTATTCTGCCGGTTCCACCCTGAAGACCAGTGCTGGGAACGGAGGCAGTGGGGAGCCACGGCAGGCGCCGGGGCAGGAAGGGAGCAGCCGGGTCTCGGGGTGACTTGGAGAGAGCCCCGCAGCGCTGAGGCCTCCCGGGAGCCAACAGCTC